ACCATATGTGAATTTACCTGTCATTTTCTGTGAATATTATGCCAGTTTCTACAAATATCTAAAGACTATATTTAAGTATGTAAATATCACATACAATTTTTATGTGTTAAACTAGCAGCATGGCTTGGCATTGCCCATGCTTGATTCAAAAATCGTACGACTCATACAGCAATCGCTATCACTTGACTTAAAATATTTTTGCCCTTCCTTGCCTTTAAAGGAGTGCCCTTTGCCATGCAGATGTTGCTATATGCTTTACTTCTTGCCTATCTCACAGTGCAAATTTTTTCTAAGCTCTATACTAAACATTAAATCTGTTATGAAAAAAGAACTAAACTAAATGAACACAAAACGATCAGCTTTAAAAAGGACTTGTAACTGGAAAAACCAAATGAAAAAAGAATGTTAACAACAAATACTTTTTCACACCCAACCCAGTTCTGCGGAATCAGAATCAACATTGAGTTTAAGCAAGCGAATGAGCCAATTGGAGTAAAATGCCATGCAGATTTAAATTTTTCCCACTTGTGACGAATGCAGCTATCGATTTTTTTTGCATGCTCGCATGCTAGTTAACATTCGTGTCAGTCAGCTGTTGGCTCTCATGCTGGCCACTAGAATCTTCCTGCCTATTCGTGGCAGCCAGTTATAGGTTCTCACTCTGGCCAATAGAAAATGGCCGCAAACTACATGAAAACTGCCGTAAAAGCATGAAAAATCGATTATTTCCACTATCCATGGGAGTTGGGAAATGCAAAGTCGGTCTTGGCCTTCCCGCTAACTTGGAGCATGTGCATGTAAATTTTAGTGCAAATCCATCGAAAATTGCGGCTGTGCATTCGTTACACACACACACACACACACACACACACATCCTGCCTTTTATAGATAGAGATTAACAGGTTTGCATCTATACAGCATATACAGGAAAAAAAATTCTCAACCAAGATGAATCCAAAGGTATCTGTATTGCTTTGGTTTCAACATAAATATTATAATTTTTCAAAAATTTTCTTTTTCATCACAATTTTCTCTATCAATATTTTTGTATGCATGTATGTGTGTCAGTATTCATAGGTATGTGTATATATGTGTATTCATAGGTATGTGCATATAAAGAAAGTAAAAGATCTAGTCTAGTGATAAAATATTTACTTACACAATATACATTGTTTTCAAAACTAAATAATTTCTCCAAAAACTACTCTTAAATGGTATTAGACTAAAGTATAAAAGCCCTTCGTTGACACACTTGTTTTCTGAGAACTCCAGAATTAAATATATCAAATTATATTATATTATATTATATATATATATATATATATATATATATATATATATAAATAAAGGATATATAAATACAAACAAGCCATCAGTTGAAATTTTATTAGTTTTTCCGAAATATTCTAAATTATAACTGCATGTCATATAGTGGGAAAAATGGTATTTTATATAAGAAATATTTATTTTTCAAAATAATTTTCCTTTATTTTCAGTGTCCTCATTTTAGTAGTGAACCAAAGAGATCTTAGAGATAAAACTGAAAATTTCAGACCAAGATTCAGCTAATAAAGTTTGAAGCTATAGACTTATTGATCCACCTTTGTACATCCCTGGTATTATGAGGGAGTGCCTGATACGGAGCCTCAGCCCCTTGACTTTTTGCAGAAACTGAGAACTAAACAGAGCATTAAATTTGTCTACTTGGCTTCAATCTATGACAATGTTCTTGAGCTGAGCTCTGTCATTTGTTTAAAATCATGACTGCTGTTAATTCTTGAAATAAATCAAAAAATTTCCTTTTCTTTTTTTTTTTTTAATTTTTACATTAACTTCTAGAACTCTAATATAATTCTTATATGCAGAAAATAAGTAGAAACGAAAAGCAAAAAAAAAGAGATTGTCTATTTAAAATAAACACAAGAAAAACGTTTACAGTAGATAAAAAGTATTCATTTTACGAGAATTACATGAAAAAATATAGAATCTTTAAAACTTAACATCTGATTCACCTCCCACATCCATTTTTTATTTTGGCACCCTACTTATATATATATATATATATATATATATATATATATATATATATATATATATATATATAATTAGTTTAATATACATATACATATATGTACATAAATCTAAAACACAAATATATATACAAATGTACATACACATACATATATATATTTATGTGTAAAAAAATTCCAAGGGATAGAATCCAGGTAGAACTCAATGTCCAGGACAAAATAAGGATATAATATAAAGGCTTAAACACTTTATATATGGTCATAATTTATTACATTGGAATTGGAATAATCAATTCATCATTTACAAATACAAAAAGAAATCAGAAAAAATTATTCCCGGAGTTATTTTTTCTGATTTCTTTTTGAATTTGTAGGTCTGATGAATTGGATCATAATTATGATTCCAATGTAATAAATTATGACCATGGAGTACTAGTGTTTAAGCCTTTTTATTATACATACCATATTTACTCGAATATAGTGCTAGTTCTTATGATCAATTTTTTTATGCAAAAGATAAAAGGTTGCACTATACACAGGTAATTTTTTGAAGAGGTTAAGAATCATGCAATTTCAGTGCATGGTTGCACTATAGACAAGTAGATTGTTCTTGGAGGGGTTAAAATTCATGCAAAAAATTCAGGGGTCAATTATACATCAAATCAGCTTATACATGACTATATACAGTATATGTGCATCTATGCATGCATATTTGCTTATGATTCATTGTTTAAACACTCAACCCATTGTACTAATTTAAATAAAGGTGAATCTATCAGATCTCATTTAAAATATTCAAAATAAGATGTCAGCAAATTAACTTGGATCTGATCTGCCTATAGCTATAGCCTTCTTATATTTTGGTAGGTACCTATCAGAAAAATGACTAACAATATTGTCTCAGCTACTAATGAGTTTAATCTTTACTGGGTGCTCCACTCTTACAGCCGTTTTTTACCAGACTAGACCAAGCTTATAGATATGCCCTATGCTTTTGGTCACAGTAAAAAAAAAAAAAAAAAAAAGTCTCTTCTCCATTTTATTCTTCTATTAATATATAAAGTCAGAAAGAGGCCTTGACAAAAAAATAAAATAAAATAAACCAGCAAAAATATTTCATGTTTATCTTAAAATAAAATATTTAGAAATTATTTTCTTCTATTTATTGCTTCAAAATTATTGGTCATTTGAAAATATTTTATTGGTCATTTAAAATGTAAAAATAATCAAGGAATTTTGTGAACCCATGTATTTTGAATATTAAATTTATATTACTCTTCAAAGTACATTATTTATTTTTGTCAAGGAACAAAGTATTGTAAAGTCTTGCACGGCTTGAAAATAAATTAGCAGCAGGATCAGGTTACTGCTCAAGATGTCCACGGGAGTTCTTCTCTTCTTTTGCAGATTAATCAAGTAAACTGAGAAAATGGCCACAAACTAGTGGATAATTATAATAACTGATAAGAAATAAGAGGAAAAGCAAAGGATGTCTTCCAAATGCAGAAAATTATAGCAGTTCTTGTAATGGAGGGAAGTAGAAAGAGAAAAATAGAGAAAGAATTTTAGGAGCTAAAAAATAGCCAAGAGGAGAAGAAAGAAAAGAGGACAGTGAAGTGGAAGGATTAAAAGGTGGTGGGCTAAAGAAAGATTGGATTTAAGAACAATGTAGAAAGAAAGAAAAAAGAGCATGAAGAATGATAAAAAAGAATTAGAATAGAAGGATAAATAAAAAAAGAAGAAAAGATTAGAAAAACAATAGAAAGAGGAAAAGGAAGGTGTAATGAGTGGAGAAAGAAAGAAGTTGCAAAAGAAAATTAAAAAAACGACCATAGAGAGCTAAGAAAACGAAACAGAAGGAGAGAAAAAATGAAGAAAGATAAATAAAAGAATGCAGAAAACGAAAATCAGGAACTAAAAAGAAAGCGGGTGCTTAGAAGCCAAAGAAGGACAAATTTTATTTTGTCCATTGAAAGAAAGTGAGTCTGGAGCAAAAGATCCTTCAAAAAAAAAAAAAAAACGCAACTGCCATTTTGCGTGAGAGCATCAATCGCCAAGAGACACCGTCCAAATCAAATGGAAGACTTCAATCTGCAAAAGTGAGAGAAGACAATTTACTTTTTAATTTATTCCCCATCCTACTTTCTAAAGACATTGGGGTGGGGGTCCATCTATCAGGACTGAAAGGCAGGTGCGTGCGTGCGTTCGTGTGTGTGGACTGACTAGCAGATGAGGGAGAGGGGCTATACAGCAAGGACTGTTCAGGTTCTTCTTGTGCGTTGAACTGACCAGCTTAGTCTGGTCTCCGAAAGAAAAATGTCTTTCTGGTATTAAAAATATAAAGTCTATAATTTGAATAAAACTTCATTTAAAACCCTATTGTTTGGTATTAAAATAATAATAAAAAACGAATGAAGATAAAAAACCATTATTTTTTTGCATCTGTGTTAAAAAAAACGTAACCTGCGCATAAAGAAAAAGTACTTACCAATATTAACAAAGTTAGAGAGGAGTAAAAAAACAAACAATAAGAATCAACCAAAGTAGCTGTTAATTGAAAACTCTTGAACTAAGAAGATTGAGTAAATTAATTTGCATAAAGTTGAATGAACTAAAAAAAGTTTAGGGTCTATACTACGATTTGGCTAATTAATAAAAGAAAAAAAAAGACCAACATTGTTTATTAGCCTTTGTAAGAAATCGAGTTTTTAAGTTATTTCATTTCGATAAATTAATGACAGAAAGAAAAAAACTTGCTTATCCTTAACGAACCTTATATAAAATTTTATCACTTCGCTTCTTACAAAAAATACATTTTTTGACATAACTTTGAAATTGTGACTCTTAATTTTTATTCAATTAGTTTTTATTTTTGCATACATTTTTTTTTTTTACCAGCGTTAAAAAAAACGTAATTGCCTGCATCTGCCATGATTTTTCTTTAAATCACGAAAATGTGGTCGAGGTGTAATGAGGACAATGAAGATGAGTTTTCTTCATTCGCATCTCTTCTTCAAATATTCCCTTGGGCTACATGAGAATGAAGTTGTCCCAGACTCTAGTTTCAATTTTATGCCATGGCAGGATTCATTTCTTCACCTGCGTGGTTTATGTTTTTATTATCTTTCCTTTTTTTATTTTAAGTTTTCTTTTCTTTCACTTTATTTTTTATGATTAAACAATATACATACCTCTTATAATTTTTATTGTAATTATGCATTATTTTTTTAAATCATTTAAAAAAATTCTTCTTGGTGTCTTGACAATAAGAAAGAAATCATTTCACTATAAAGAAAACGATTGACGTTGAAAGGAGGTGTTAAAAACTTAAAAGATTGTAAGAAAAAAAAATCAATTTAGTTTAATTGTCTATTAATTAATTTGTTTTTTTCCCTAGAACGTGTTTAACCCCCAATAAAACGTAATAAAAGTACTTAATGAACTTTTTCTTCAAACCTGATTCTGCACATGACACACTTTTTAGTTTTTAGAAAACTCAGGAATAAATGGTCTACCTTGAAAGTATTTTTATTTTATTTAATTTATATAAGCAATTTTCCTTTTTTCAAATTCCTTTTCTCTTAATATTTAGTTTATGGCCTGATGGAGGTTACTAACTAATGTCGCCAAAAGTTGTAAACTAGTTAATAATCAGTTGCAAAATTACAAATAAAAAAGAAAATGGAATAATAATGAAAATTGAAAATAGTTGTGACAAAATTATTTCAAACTAGTATTTTTTTTTTCAGTCAACAAAAACAAAACACTTTATTTATTTATTTATTTATTTATTTCATTACTGGTTTTACTAGCGAAAGAATGTAATTGTACTGTGTGTACGACACTACGGTATTTAACGGGTTACGACTTAATAGCAATTAATTTCAGAAACCTGCTCTCAAAGTCGAACTTGAATCAGTTACTAACAAACTATTTTGATAGTTACAAACCAAAAAAAAATTAAAAATTTCAAGAACTGTTTGCGCGTATAATTGAATATTTTGGTTCACAAAATAAAAATGCACCAAAAAAACATTGATCATTATTTACTTTTAGTTTTTTTTATCAAATTATTTTCTAAACTAAACATTATTAATTATTCATAAGAAATAATTGGATAAATTAAATTCATAGAAGAAGTAACTATTTTTTTGACTGATCGGTTTTTGTTGGATTAATAAACTGATTTAAAAACTAAAAAGGAAACATTATGGAAATAAAAGCTTGTCTTGCGGATAGGAATAAAAAAAGTCATAGAGAAAATATTTTAATGCATAATTTCTAAAGTAAATGTTGATAAATCATAAAAATAATAATTTCAATAAAGTAGTAGTCTTTTTTAAATATTACTTACTTCCTTAAATTATGATTTTTATTTCATATTAAAATAAAATATTACCTGCTTTTCCTAACCATAAACAACCGAAGTTAAGATTCTTTCTTCTCTGACATTTTTTCTACCCTAACGAAGAGTACCTTATGACTTTTCTTTTTAAATCTTTTTTTATTACTTTTTTCCAGTTACGTAAATAAGACCTAAACTGATATTGAGAAATGAAGATAAACAGTAAAAAATAAAAATACATTAATTAAAAAAAAGTTTTTATTTGTTAAACATTTGTTCCGATGTTAATCAAACAAATTAAAATTTTAATTGTTTATTAATTTTTTTATTCTATTAAATTTTTATAATAAATAATTTTAAAGCAAAAAATAGAGGGCAATTCTTAAAAAGTTTTTTTTTCAAATTAAACTAGATTACCAGGTAAGAAAACTTTTAAAGTGTTTGGCAAGAAAAGAATAAAAGCGTATTGTCTATTCTATTTTTAGGAGGACGCCTGGCATTTCTCAGGACATTGAAAGCGTGAGTTCAATTCTTACTGGGTGCTCCGATTTTGCGGTCTTGTGTCAGAACTAAAATTAGTAAAAAAAAAAAAAATATCAGTTTAAGAAGGAATTTCTAGGCATAGTTTACTTTAGTTTTTTTTGTTGAATTCATTTTTTCTTTTTCGTAATAAAAGTATAGTTCATCTTTGATTTGAATTTTGAAGTAAATAAAATAAATAAATTTTTAAGTAAATAAAATTAAAATGATTTATATTTTATAATTTATAAATAAGAACTCAAATACGGTACACTAGAACTCCATAGTGCGTTGTTATTTTCTATAAGGAAAACGAAAATTTAATTTTGTTTACAAACTGTATATTTACTGTATTTATTTTATTTTATTTTTTTTTTTAATTCAGCATTTTTTAAGCTTTGGTATCAACAATAAACTATTTTTAAAAAATAATACATTCATTTAAAAAACCCGTTTTTATTCTTAACACAATACAATAATAACTTATTTTAATTTTTCTGAATAAAGTGCATATGTTCATATTCCAAACGTACAATGAACTGAAAATGGAAATGTTTCCTTGATGAATATTACCGATAATTCGACAGATCAGAAAAAAATGGTTTAAATTTTATTTATAATTTATTTTAAAAAGCACTTACAATTTCATTTTCATTATTGCTATTTAAATTTTTGTCCATATTGTTGCACTCTGGGTCGTCTATACATTCTTCAGCTTAAATCGAAAAATAGCCAAAGTAGTTAAGGCGACGTCCATGAAAGCCGGGCTCTTCTGAAGTCTGGAATGCCCGTTTAAGTCTTTCGGTCTTACAAAGTGATATTTCTGATTTATTTTACCGATCGCAAAGCGTAGTATCAACTCGAGGTGTCGTGATAAAAAACGGAAAAATACGATGGCGAACTACTAGCAATAGATAGAATTTGTTTTATTTATTAAAAGTAAAAAAACAAAAAAAAACAAAAAACAATCACTCTGAAGAACGAGTGATAGAATGTCTGCTTGCTGCTGAAGACACCGGCTTCTGCTTAACTAGGCTTCCGTGGCCGAATTAATTAAGTCGACATCCATGAAAGATTGCTCCTAAGGTTTGTTTCACTTTGTTACAGAACACCTTAGAATTTTACTACATTAATTTTAAAATGTTAAACAAACACAATAAAACACTTTCGGAACCACAAGAAAAATATTTTTAGAATGATTCATTGAGAAATGTCAATTTGTCTTTTGTTTGGTAGTACTTTTAAAAATGTTCAAGAGATCAAAGTTTCATGTTTTCGTTCTGTGGGTTTGTTTTTTGAAAAAAAAATGAATAAAATGATGCTGTAAAAAATGTTTAATAAGTCATGTTTGCAATATGAGCTATGGTTAAAAAAAATAAAGGTTTCTATCTATAGTTAGTGTTATTACATTTGAGTTGAGTATATTTTTATTTTAGACAAGAGATTAAGAAGAGTGATAGATGAACAGAAGACATAATGGACCCCCAAAAAAGGGGGTGTAAGGATTTATCATTTTAAAATTTAAATTAATAGCAATTAATTTTTGTTTTGGAGACATAAAAACATTTATTCTTATTTCTGAAATTTTTGTAAAAAATATTTCTTTGACCTTACATATTTGAGGGTTAGATTTAGCTCGGTTTTGGATAATTCCATTTACGTCTGAACAAACCTGTCTCCCCTGCGTGAATCAGTTGATGGACTTGGCATGCCTACTGAATGGCCTCAACTAAATACGAAGATGGCGGCCTGCTTGGTTCTTATCTGAAATTGTCAGGCACTTTTATAGTTTTTCTAGTAACTTAAATTGATTTGATTTCTCTGAATCTATTTCTTTGTGGCCAAAACATTATTGTTCGAAATTTCATCTGGATTTAAAAGTTCAAACGTAAGTCTCGTTTTTTTTTTTTTTTTTTTTTTTACTATACGTTGAATTTTTATTTTTCCTGATTTATTTCTTAATGTATAATAAAACATCAAATCATGTTGAAATATTATGGAATAATTATAACATTTCTTTAATTTTTAATCTTGTATAAATCGGTTTGTTCACAAGTTCTTTAATGTAGATGTGTTAGGAGACTTTTTAACAACTTTCATTTTTCATAAATAAATTGAACCACGCTTTTTCTTTCTTTTAAAAGAGTTTTACTTTATTTTTATCTTTCGTTTGGGGCTTTCAGAAAAGTGTCAAATGAAACCAAAAATATAAAAGGATCATATGAATAAATGATAAAGAAATTCGAACAAAATCAAGATATAAATCATGTTATTTTTTCTCCCATGTCGAATGTTGACTTTGTAATTACTAATAAAAAAAAAGTCGTTACGTATTGTATTGAAGAAAAATGAAAAAAAACCTTCGTTCAAAGAATTTTATAAAGATACATTCAAAAATAACATCGTTTGTCAAAATCTCCAAATAAAACTATAATAAATATCTCATAATTATTTAAATAAATGAGGGGAAAAAAACGCTGTTTTAAATTTTTTTTTTTTTTTTTTTTTTTACTTTTTATGGAGTCAGATTTTGTGTACTATAAACAAACAAATTACACTACAGCGATTTACTGTGTGTTAGTGTAATCTATAATAATAAATAATTATTACCAATATTCAGAAATACTGATAATAAATTTAGTAGTTCTTGTAGACAGGATGATGTTTTTGTTTCGTAAATTGAATATTAATTTTAATTTTATTTAGTGGTTGGTTAAAAAAAACAAAAAAAAAACACTAAAAAAGGCGGATGTAAAGTTTTCCAACAATAATTTTGTTGTCCTTTTTTATTCATAGAAATTCATAATTTCATACTCTCAACTCGGAAGATTGTGTATTGTAAGAAAGAATCCATGTGTATGGTGTGTGTACTGAAAAATTTTTCCAATCCTAAAGAAAGATCATAACTAACATAAAAAATAAATAGATGCATTTATTTTTGATCAGTTGATAAAAACTTTAAAAAAAAAAAACATTTGATTTACAATTTGTGTGTTTTTAATGTACAGGTGTAACATCATTTTTGTTTTTTTCATGTTTTTAACATTGAAACATGGCAAAATTATTTCCTTTTTTTTTTTCTTTTCGTTGATTTATTTTTTAAAAAGTCATTATTTAAATAGAGCGACATGTTTTTTATTTACTGCTTAAATAAGTTAATACACGTGCTTTTTTATTGCTGAAGTTAGGAAAAGAAAAAGAATGCCTTGTACTTTTTTAGTTTTGTACTACAAAAGCAGAATTAGTCGCTTCCTTTTGTGAAAAGTTGAAAAACCACATGTTTGGATTTCTTCCTCTCTAAAGTAAACTTATGACTAAAAATAATTCCTGCATTTGATTTGGTTCTGTAATAATCAAACGGTTTTATCTATTTATGTATTTATTTAAACTATAGACTATCTATTCTTCCTGTAACGTGGTCAGAAAAAGAACATTAGCGATGCGTGGACAGTAAACAATAAACTGGACCCTCATTTTGTAACCACACAAAGATACCTTCTTACACTTTTCTTTTGTATTAGCTGCGTGCGTATGTAATTGTGTGTATTCTTTTCACGACTTTATATTTAATTATTATAAAAATAATTTTCTTGTTTATTCCGTACTTACCTTACCTCCTTAAATAAATAATAAAAAACAAAAAACTGCCCTCTATTTATGTCCCACCCACTTGCGTGCTTTTCCTACATTTTTCCTTTCATACGTTGATTACGTATAATGATGATGATGATCTGAAATTTTTGGGGATAGGGGAAAGAAAGAAAAGCCTTTTTTCTCTCCATCTTTTGTCCTCATCTTCTTAGTTTCAGGTTCCTCCCTTCATCATGCATAAAACATGCAATATGTCAATTTCACAACATACATTTACCTGATTAAAATAATATAATAATACCAATGTTAGTTTCTGTTAATGTTTTTTTACCCATCAAAATGTCTCAAATTCAAATGCATAGTTAAAAAACAAATCATTCATTCTCATCTCTCATTTGTCAAATTTAATTTTTTTGTAAAATAATATATTCCGATCTTAGTTTGTGTTATGCATTTCTTTTTTTTTTTTTCTTTTTTTTTGTAATACAAATCTTGACCTTTTCATAAAAAATAAATAATATATTTTAAATTTTTTTATAATTTCCGAGTAATTAATGAATGTGTTTAATTTCTTTGTTTTTTTCAACCTCATTTAAAAAAAAAATTAAATTTGCACTTAAGTTATGTGATTGACTGTAATTTCAAATTCCTAATATCAGAATGCGTATTTTTATTTAATTCACTATTTGTTTATCATACATTTATTAAAATAGCATATATTCTCTAATATTCACAATAATACAATACCATGCATGTCTTAAGTTAAACTTTTTGGTACTCTGTCTTAAGATTTTGTGTGTGATGCATTTTTTTCTTTTAAGAAAGTGCATATTTTTATGAAGATAAATACATGATTCAAATCTTGGTACATGGCCAGTGATGAATAAAATATTTCCCTTTTAATAAAAAAATAAAAATACTGAATTCTTGTAAGTGTTTAAAAATATTTCAGGTATGAAAAGTTTAAGATCATTTTTGTTCTAATGTTATCAAAATTATTATTTTACTATTTTTTTTAAGTTTATTCAAAATTAATGACAATACTTCATATAAGAATTTTAAAAAACAGCTATAAGTAAAACTAAAAGTAATCTTATAATTCTGAAATGTCATCATGATAAAATTCAAACTGCCTTACATATTAAAATTATCCTTTTTAACAGAAATTGTCTGCAGATATTGTTATATATATATATATATATATATATATATATATATATATATATATATATATATATAATGGTTTTTCCTTGTTTGTTCACTTATGCAAATCTTTAGGTGTAAAGTATAATGAAAATTGACTAAAAACTATATTTTAAGATTCTTTTTCCAATCAGTCCTGCTGAGAAATTAGTGTTTTTACATTTCCAATATTCTAATTTTATGTAAGCAATCAAATTATTTAAAGTTGAATTAATTTTCAAATATATTTAAAAGTTAGAGAGGGACAGTAATTTTTTTAATAGCTAAAAAGTACATTATTTTATTCAAAGAGCTCTTTAGAAAAAGATTCACAAATGAATGTTTTATGTGTGCTAAAAATATTTGTTCTGTCAACAACTGATATTTGGTTGCTGTGCATTTGGAAACCCAATTTGCCCTGATGAATTACTTTCTGGACAGATCTTGACTGTGGGTGCCAATTTTGGTTATGCAGAGAGAGATATATAAACAAAATTGTCATATTTTGCTTGACCTTCATTAAGGTACTTAACATCTCTGGAATTAGAATTCTCTGTATGCTAGATTCTATTATAGTTCTGATGCACTGCATATTGTGTACTTTATTCTTCATTTAATGCCTGACTTTAGGGACATGCATGAATGTGTCACTATATGCTCTTTTCGTTTAGAACAAATTCAGAAATGGCTCATTTCCAATAGGGCAGCGACCAGTCACTACATAAAGGCTTATGGTATCATATTACATCATGGCTATTTTGTGATGAAGTCTTTGGAGTGGAACCCATAAAAATAACAAAGAAACACAGCTGTTAATGTTAGCTATAGGCAAGGATCTAGTGTATGCATATGAAAGAGGAGATCAATAGTGACATGTTGCTCTGATCATTGTAATTCTGCTTTTAAAATGCCTTTAGAGTATTTTTTTTTCTCTTATCAGGAGATATTTTAAAGATTTCTTTTCAAAATGCACCCTAAATAAAGCTTATAATATATTAGTGTTGGCCCAGTAAAATTGTACAGAGTTTTAAGGGTGATAAAAAATTCTGACCTTTTTTAGGATTAAAATTCAGAATAATCAGGGATGATTCTTCTCATGAAAAAATTGTTGAATTGGACAGTATTGGTTTGGTTTGTTTTACGGCATATCAACACCTCAATGGGTTATTTAATGCCGACAACATTTTTATTGCTGGTAATTTTTTTTTCTTTTTTTTTAAATATGTTGGTAATCTTTTTTTTTCTTTTTTCAAAAATGTATTGCTGGTAATAATTTTTTTTTTAAGTATTTCTACTATTAAAACCTATTTTTACACTTTCATAGTATTTTGACCCAAGTTTGGGTGTTAACTATTTGTCCAAAGCTGGGACCCTAACAGGTGCTACCACTCCAGGTTGGGGTGGACCTAGGAACACCAGCAATTAAGAGGTGGTTCCCACTCCTTAAAACCTCCTGAACAGAGGCCTTGCTGTTGGATGTAGTTTATCGTCTTACCCGGGACAGGAATTGGACAGTAAATTAATTTTTTTTTTTTTACTTAAATAAAATCTCATGTACAAATAAGGTGATCAAGATTTATTATTGTATTTGAAAAACTGAAATGGCTTATTTATATAGTATGTCAAGAAGAAACCTTTTTGAAGTATCTACTTAGATAATCAGATTAAGAATGTGATTCATTTTTTCTCATCTTCATTGATATCAGTTTAATGAACTCTGATTTTTGGTGTTAACTTTTAAAATGGAATGACACTTTAATGATTTCAAATTACTGGATTTCTTAAGTAATTGTTTTTGTGAGATATTTAAAACCTGATATCACTTAGCTGGTAGAATTCTACTGATACTTTACAAAGAAAAAATATAGTCTATTTATTCTTTTGCTTCATTTTTGTGAACTAATGAAATTGCATATGATCTTACTTAAGTAAAATAAAAATATAAATAAATCTAACCAATATTAGGTTTTGTCATGCATTTTTTAATGTTTTTTTTATTGTGGTGGGTGGCAAAACACTAAATAACACCAAGTGCTGTTAAGAATTTAATGCAGTAATTTGGTACCCAAAATTTTGAAGGTTGGTATATTTGTTTAAAATTTAGATAAAAAAAAA